GCCGCGACATTTGATTAAATACTATGAAATTTCTTGTCGCTGAATTGGCGATAAATATCGTTCTATTCTCCATATCCTTTCTGCGGATTCTTTGGTAAGTTAGGCAATCAAATGTCGCGGTGAGGATGGGCAGAACTGGAAATATCAAAGAAAAAAATTCACACTAACTGTAAATCTATCATTTCCGTACGGAGGTACTTTTACTGCAGGTAAGACGGGGCGTTTGTATGGTACTACGTAGTATGTAATATACCCGTTCTCAAACAAATCCGGTAGTTACGGGTGACGGAAACCGCGCCCGTCTTTCCTGTGAAACCGTGGCTTCTTCTATGGCATCGCCTCAGCTACCATACCACAACAACAAACGCAAACCAAACACATAACAAAAGAGTAGGTAGACTGCATGAATAACGTTAATCGAATACCTCCCAGCGATAGTGGGAAGCCATGTTGGCGTCGATACAGCAGCGGGACTACAGGACCACGCAAAATCTCGTAACGTTGAAGGCAGTTTCGAAGCATGTTCGATCCCTTCACTATGGGCAAATGCAATAGGAGGGTTGACACGACGACTTGATGCATTGTCCATCATAATATGGAGACTTTTGGACGTTTACATAATATATACTAGTATAACTCTTCTCCAATGTACAGAAACTGGTGCTATTGAAAGGGACTTTGACCTTCAAGCGTTGTCATCACGTAGTATACGCATGGTAAGAGAATCCCAGTATCAACACTGCAATACATTAACGTGACGTCAGATCATACACATTGATTGCATTGAACCCAGTTCAATCTAGGGGGATCTCATCGATTGACCATGTACACTGAAGGATACGGTAACAATTCAGTGAGCCAGTATACACTCGGTATACCATCAACACGAAGGCAACACAGTACACTGCATCGCTTTACACGTTAAACGTCGTCGGCCGTTGCAACAACATTGATAGAGCATACTGTATGTCTTTACCATTCAAGTTGGTCGTGTCGTGTCGCTCCTCCTTCGCATTTCTACCCCTAAAGGTCCCATATCCAGTCAAGTCACTTGATGTTTGTATGCTGGCCCGTTGAATGTGTAACTGTATGGATTCTTCATCACGCACATGTGGCACAAATCCAACTCCTCGTGATGCGGTCCATTCTCTAAAACAACGTCCGAGGTGTCTGTCATGATGCGAGTAGTCTTTGTCGCCGCCGTCGCCGTATGTGCCACCAGCACCAACCACCGATGGGCGCAAGACCCGTGCGTGGACGTGGAAGGTGACGCGCGCTTCTGCTTCGCGTCCTCGAACGTGTGCACCAGCACTCACTCAGGTGAATGCCCGACGTCGAACACCCACGCCGAAGCCAAATGTACCGAAGACGCCCCAAGTTTCCATCCAACGGGAACCTACCAAGGCCGATGCGTGCTCAAGGTCGACACCCACTGCGTGGAACGCTCTGCCGGCTTCGTATGCGGCTACATGGGTGCGCCGCGATCTGGAGTGGACGCTGTTGGCGTGCCCCAACGAGGAGCAGAACCCGTGCAAGAAGTAGGTGAAGCGAAGCACCCGTTCCAACCTGTCCCCGCAGGCAAGTCGCACCGCCCATTCCCATTCGAACCCGACCATGCGGGCAAATCGCGCCACCCATCCGAACCCGACCAGGAGGGTAAACCGCACCCCCCGTTCGAACCCAACCAAGGAGACAAATCGCACCACCCGTTCGAACCCAACCAAGGAGGCAAATCGCACCACCCGTTCGAACCCGATCAAGTGGGCGAAGCGCAGCGCCCATTCGAGCCCGTCAAAGGAGGCAAATCGAAGCACCCGTTCGAACCCAACCAAGAGGGCGAAGG